AATGAAGTCAGAGAATCGACATAGCCACTCCCTGTTTACTGTTTCATTATTATTATCATATTATATTTCCCCGGTTCTGACTGACTGCAGACGCTGTTTCCGCCTCAATAAGTGACCAATGAGAAAAAAACTTTTTTCTTTAAAATGAGAATTTTTTTCTTCGAGTATAAGACGCACGAACACAATATATGCAAAAAAAAAGCGCCTTATACACGAGTAAATACGGTAATCACTAACCAAGGTAATGGAGCGCCAAAGGCGCGACCATAGCTCGCTAGTCTAAAATATAGTTCCTTATCTTTCAAGCTATTCTGTCAGGACCAAGCTATGACTTTTGAGGTAAGTGAAACTTCCAATAGAAGGATAAAAAGAAAATTAAAATTAATAAGTTTCACCTACATTCTAACAATGCAAGTTAGTTCATTTTTTATTTACCATATTAAGCACTACTATTCATTAGCCTCTTGACTCATACATGCTTGACAGTGGGCAATATTCAATAGCCAAATGAATTATAGGTATTACAAAATTCTGAGCAATTGCTGTCAGGTTGAGCTGAAGCCAGAGAAAGGAAGGCAAAGAAAAAGTGAAAATAGGGGGAAGGGAAGGTGGAGGGAGGGTGGACATGATTCCTAGTATGATGCAAGGCAAGGTTTGGATAAGTAGGCAGAGGCAAAGCACTTTAAAATTTTTTTTAAAACCTATACTTCTTCCTTCCAAATTCTGCCATATTCATGCCTCCTTCCGGGTGAAAAACCAGAATGGGAATAATCAAGGCATGCAAAAACCACAAGAGCTCACCAACACGGTGCACAAAGAGCTTTGGTTTTGATGGGAAGTCGAAGTTGATCACATTGTCAAGGAGAGGGATATCAATGCCTCGAGCTGCAATATCTGTTACAATCAAGAGGTTCACTTTGCGTGAGGAGAATTTGGCTGCATTGATCTTCCGAGCAGTGGGATCCAGACTGGAATAGAGGTATGTCCTTGGGACCCCAGCTTTCTCTAATACCTGAAGAAGATAATGCAATCATGGTTGAGAGAAAACAATAAGAAAAAAGGGGACAGCTCTGATATAAGAAAAGAAGCATGATTGTGATGCTAGTACATAGAAATGGAGAAAAAAATAGAAGTGGGTTTGGAATGGATGGCTTCTAGAAAGATTATCAAGAGGAAAAGGGAATGGGAAGAAAGAAGTGGTTGAGCTAAAGGCTGGAAGCCTTTTCTCTATTGACTTATGAGTGTCAATTTCCTCTGTCATGGATCCAGCCACAATTGTCTCATGTCTTCTTGCTACTTGGTCTTCCACTTATTATGAGTCATAATTATTCTTGAACTCATTGGAATAGGTTTTGAATTGCTGATAGTTCTGAATGAGAATTGAGTTTAGTTGGTAAAGAGATGTACCTCTGACCCTGGACAGAGACTTCTAGGACATTTTCCTTTGCATTTAGTGGTAAGGTTGTGGTGAAAGATGCATGCAGCAAGTGGCAATAAAAGTTGTCGGACATGATTAGCCATTAAATGCTGATTCCATGAAGGATGTGCATGTGACCACACCAGCTACTTGTGCATGTTAGCCTTGAAATTGAATGTATTTTAAAGTAATATAATTGTTTCCACTGATCTATTCAGAGCTATGCCTGGCTGGAGGGGGGGGGCTATCTACCTGGGACATCCTACAGATCATATGCCCCCAACTGCATCATCCACATGAGGCTTCAAGTGCAGGAAGAGAAAAATATTGCATGTAGCCAGACTTGGTGAGTACATGGGTTGGGGATGGACCTTGAGGTAAATGAGGTTGGCCACCACAGTGACAGATGAGGGTGCCAGAGCATTGTCATCCCAAAGCAGCCACTCTCCATGTAACTAGAGATTTGGAGAGTGTCTGCTACAGCAGCAGTTCTCAACTGGTGGGCTGCAGAGGCGCTGCAGGTGGGCCGTGACAAGTATCAGTAAATCAAAAAAGATCAGTTACTTAGTATATAGTACCGAGTGCACAATATCATTATGGGCTGCCGTTTGTCCTTGTTGCCTGTGTGTCTGGGGTTCTGTCCTTATCATGCCATCTGGCAGTGACAATGTTTACTGATTATCCAGTTCAACCGTGCTACACTCTTAATCCTCAAAGGGGTCATTAAATGTCATCTGTCTTTTTCTCCTCTGAGGGGAGAGGGTGACTTCCCCTTTGACCCCTCTGCCAGACCATGGGCTGTGGCAATCCTCAAGGGAGGGGGCAAGCATCACGTATGAATGATTTTAGAGATTTAAATAGATTGTTTGACAAAAAGTCCACCACTGATGGCCTTCAGGCTCCTTTCCGAGGATTTGAGAAGCGTATGACAGCAACATGTTAATGAGCTACCATAAAATGAGTCATGACGGCATAGCAAAGTTGGACAGGATAGACCGTGCTCTTCCCTATGCTAAATGCAAGGCCCCTGGACAGAAGGTGGCAACCCCATTTGAGGTGACTTTTGTGAAGGTGGCTGCTCAGATAGTGTTTGCAATGTCATTTAAGTTTTTTTGGTATTATTTGTGGGCCCTGGGACATAATTACTATTAATGGGACCATGAAAAGCAAGGACTCTACAGATTTGGCTTCACAGAAACTATGACAAAGGAGCCTCATGAAATTGCATCATCTTCAGGACAAATGGACTCCGGAAGTGACAGTGACGCAGAGTTGGTACCACATAAACCAGCTCAGAAGACGACAAAAAAAAGTGTGCCCAATAGAAAATATAATGAGTTACATAAAATTTGGCTTTACAAAAACTGGTAGTGATGCAGTGCCTCTTCCACTGTGTTGTTTGTGGTGAAACTCTTAGCAATGAAGCAATGAAACCAACCAAACTGAAACATCATCTGGAAACTTAACAAGTGTCTCCGAAGGACAAGCAGGTCAAATTCTTTGAACATAGATAAAGTGAAATGAAGATGGAATGAAAGTATATGTTTGCTGCAGCTAACATCAGTGCTGCTGCTTTACATGCCTCTTTCTTGACCTCTCACAGAATTGCAAAATGCAAGAAACTATTCAAGATTGGCGAAGAACTTGTAAAACCCGCCATCATTGACGCATGCAAAGAAGTTCTCGGCAAGGAAGTGTCCAAGAAAGTAAGCAACATCCCCCTGTCTAATGATACTATGCCTTCTTTAATGGCCCAAAGATGTGAAAGTCACAAGGGGATAAGTCAAGACTGCATGGAGGGTGGTCCAATACCTCCTATTGCCACTAGTTTTAAGATGTCCTGTGTAGTGTGGGCCATATGAATGCGAGCACACATGAGGACAACACAAAGAGATACTGAGAAACATTGGCAAGTTTATGCAAGGCAATAAAGTCCAAGTGTTCTGGCCTTTTGACCAAAAAGGTTTTCTTGTTGCATGAAAACGCCTGCCCCATACAGTCCACACTAGACAGGATATCCTAAAACTAGTGGCAATGGGAAGTATTGGACCACCCTCCATACAGTCCTGACTTATTCCCTTGCAACTTTCACATCTTTGAGCCATTAAAGAAGGCACTGAAAGGTCAACAGTTCCATTTGGACGAAGATGTGAAGGACATGGTCAAAACTTTCTTTCAGCAGCAACCATCATCTTTCTATGAAAATGGTATTGGCTCCCTTGTGAAATGTTGGGATAAGAACAGCAGTGGAAATTTCTTTTTAATTAAATCAAAGTTTCATACGCATTTTCGTTGTTGTCCACATATTTATTGAATGGCCTTATATATTGCTTTTATGCCTGTTGTGGGCCTTGGATCACTTCGCAGTTGTTAAGGTGGGCCGTGGGATCAGAAAGGTTGAGAACCACTGTACTACAGGACACAATCTTATGGTCCTAAAATGACCTGCTAAAGATCAGTTGGTAGGCCTCGTGCAAAGTGGATGGACTAAATCACAAGTCTTTGTCACAAGAGGCTTTGTGTACCACCTGCCAAGCTTACATCCATTGCCCAAGATTGTGAACACCAGATGATGCTCCTGGACTTGCTTGAGCCATGACCCCATTGAGTTGAGATAAGATGTTTGTAAAAATATATGTGGGTATGTACAGGGTGACCGGAAAGTTCGGAGACACTCAAAAATACCAATATCCTGATGCCATAAAGAACAATAAATGTTTTTTTAATTTCATAAGAAAGAACATAAGAAAACCTTCAAAATGAGTTAAACATCTTCGAAATAGCCCCCATTGGCAGCAATAACTTTTCTGAGGCGTTTTGGAAAATTGTCCACAGTTTCTCACAAGATCCTGAGTTGTACCAAGTTCCTTGTAGCGGGCAATGGCTTTGTACACAGTGGATCGTGGCAGTTTCAGCTCCTTGATGATCTTTGCAGGTGAATGACCTTGCTGAAACATGTAAATCACAGCTTCTCGGCTGGGTTTCTATTCCATATCTGCACCCGGAGGAATCATATTTGCGATGCAAAAAGATTAAGCCTAGAGCTAGACTCGTGGAAGAAAGGAAGCCTCACACTTGAAAAAAATCTTTAAAATTTTACAAGTCTCCGAACTTTCCAGTCACCCTGTATGTAACCTTGCAAGGTTATCACCTTGATAAACAATGACTTCTTCCACAAGAGCAGTTTTCTTTGGCTTTAAGCTAATTTGATCAAGTGATCTCTCCCTCTCAGAAGAGTCAGTCTGTTAACAACATTGGCTTGCATTTCAAATTTTCCTCAGGAAGAAATTCTTGCCACACTTTCACAGAGGACCATTTTCATGGGCAGACAACGGAGTTCTGGCTCAAAATTAGTGTGCACTGCTCATAACAACCAATTTGTATTAGCTTGAAAGTGGTTGTTATGTGCACTGCTCATAACCACCACTTTCAAGCTAATACAAATTTAAAACTAGCATTCCTTTTTTAAAACCACTCAAATGGTAAAATAGCTGGGAAAAAATAGACAATTTTATGATGCTAAAAGGATATATATAAGTCATTACAAAAAAGAACTCATTAGTGCTATCTGCTTTCTTAGGAATGCAAATAATTTTTCAATGAGCAGTGCATTTTTCATATCTCACCTAGCACATATAAAAGGAAATTTATTCTTTATATAGCCAATGTATTTGTGAAAACTTGTTGTCTCCCTGATTATGATTGATACAGAAATATCATTATAATAAGAAGTTCAGAAATTATAATTCATGTTTGTTCTGATTTCTAACAAATTCATCCAGAAGCTGTTGGTCCAAACCCAGCAGCATGCTGGCATCCATACAAAATGCCCATGTATCATACAGCACAAAATTTCATTGTCATATGTGATTTTAAAAAATGGAGAAATAAAGATAAATGGAGATAGGGCCAGTGTGCAAATAAAATAAGGACTTACCAGGTTAAGATAGTCTACATAATGCTTTGTGGCCATGAAAATGACAGTGAGTTGATCTGTTGGAATGACATTCCGTAGAAGATGAAGCAATAGAGCTAATTTGTCTTCTGCTCGGACACTGAAGAAAGCCAACTTCAATTGCTCTGATAACTTGCTCTCTACATCCAACCTATAAATCAATACATACTCATAAATATCATAGCATTTTACCAATGCAATAGCTCTAACAATGTGGTCATTTGAAAACAACTATAGGAGTGGGAGTTTAACATGATCAAGGCCCTAGTAAAAGTGGAACCATCAACTGTATGACTCCTGTCATAACATTTTATAGTCCAATTATTCCAAGTAAGAGATGGGGAGTAGGATCATGAATCACAGAGGCCAATTGAAAGCAAGATCCACTCAAGTTTCAAGTTTCATGTTTATTGGTCGACATAGAGTACTCAATCGACATAGATTGGCTTTAAGGACAAAGACGTGAGAAGTAACGAGACAAATATGACAAACATGGGCATCATCAGAGGCGTTGTAAACAAAGAGGACATCATTTATCTTTCTATGCTGGCTTTCTGGGAAGATATAGCTTCGGTTAAAAAGGAGTTGACCACCTCCATCGGGGTGGATGAATCCAGTAGAAACTCAACGAGTGTCGTGTTTGAATTTTGTCTAACTATTTCTGAGAATTTTTGCCTTATCTGCAGTAATCCTTCGCAATCCATTAGAAAGTGCATCTGAGATTCAGAATTAAGGCACAAAGGGCAGATGTGGTCCCCATTTCGTTCCATTAGACACGGGAAATTCCAGTGAATGAAGATGAACCGCCATAAAGGTCCTCCTTTCCTGTCTAAAGAGATTAAGGATGCAAGGATGAACTGGTTAACGGTAAATACTTTGAAGACAAAAGTTATGTGTTTCACAGAAAAAAGAAGAAAGTCCAGGGAATTCGCCTTTCTATATGAAGAGCAACGGCTTGAAGCAGTCCGAACATTTCCTTATCTAGGCATGATAGTATCTAAGTCAGGGTCATGGAAAGAACATGTAAAGGAAAGAACAGCAAAGGCGAAAATCACCTTAAGGCTCTACGCAAAATCTCCGGCTTTCAAATCCCCAAAGCTCTTCGGATTTTTAATAGCCTCGTGTTTTCAGTGGCAGGTTACGGTATGGAACTCGTTCACAATCACAACCTTTCGGATTTAGATTTTCTCATTGCCCGGTTCCTCAAAGGTCTACTGGCACTTCCAATGTCATTCCCAAACACCCCTCTCCTGCTTTTGTTCGCATCTAGGTCATTTAAAGTTGAAGGCTTCAAAAGGCGAGTCGGTTATTGGCTCAAAGTTCAAACGTACCCAGCGAGCACGCTTATTGGAGCAGCGTACATTGAGCAAAAGAAATTCCTAAAGAGAGGATGTCCCTGTTGGCTTGCCTCAGTAAGAGACTCCCTACACGATGAGGGGTACTCTTATGTGTGGAACTTTCTTCCCCCCTCCAAGTCTTTTATAAGAGTGATGGTACAATCGTGTATGCTAAAAACTAGAGCCAAATGGTGAAGAAAGTTGGAAGTTATGCCCTCTGCAACAACATTTAGGCAAATCTACCAGTCAGAACTTTTTTATAGGAAAGATCCACTCAAGAGGAGATGAGAGTTGTAGTTCAAGTCCATCTCCTTGTCTCTAACTTCCGTGATAAATGAGACAACAGGCATTTTCCCCTCAGATATCAAACAGCTGCACTAATGGGCTAACATGGCATATGGCATAATGAGAAATATGAAGAATGGAGGAGAAAAAATAGTGCTCCCAAGTTACTCATAAATTTCAATTATAAACAGTATCAATAGCATAATAGGGTTCAGAAAGATGAAATATATAAATTAATCTCTATTAATAGCTACAACTTTCCCAGAAACAATATTTGAAAAGGCTCACTTCAAGCTTTTCAAAATTGTACTTTTTTGAGTCACACCATGGCCTTCTTGTGAAACCAGCACCAAAATGTTGCATTCCATTATCATGTGTTATTGCTTTTGATCCTTTAGTATGACGATATTTGTGCTCCTCCTTCTACTGACCTATTTCTCTCCTCTCCCTTCCCATACAATGAGTTTAAGGGCATACAAGACTTGTAATTATAGAAATGACTTGTAGTCAAAGAACAAACCTTATGAGGACAGGATCAGAAAGTCCTGCTTTAGCAAAGTCCACAAGAAGTTTAGGGAGTGTAGCTGAAAAGAGGAGGGTCTGTCGGTTCTCAGGAAGTCGACGCAATATTTCATGAAGCTGTTCCTGGAAACCCATCTCAAAAAGCCTGAAAATGAAGAAATTAAGGAATTCTTTGGTAACACAGCACAGTTCCATGATTGTGTGTGTGGGTATGTGGAGGAGGGGTTAAGAGGAGGGTGGAGATATATCAATATGAGTCTCACCTATCAGCCTCATCAAAGACCACATAGTGAATGGAGGTAAGCTTCAGGCTCATTTCAATACAGACATGACACAGTCGTCCTGGTGTAGCAAGGATGATATCAGGATTTTCATGCAATGCAGCAAATTGATCCTCCATACTTTCCCCACCAACAATGACAGCTGCCTTCAAGCCAGTGAATCGTCCCAGCTCCTTAGTGAACTTCAACGTCTATGAACACAATCAGGTATCTTATCATTATGGTAATGCATTGCAGACAGCAAAATTTTCAGTGATGCTGAAGACCAGAATTGATACTTGAGTAAATATCCCAGAAAGGGTAAGTGGCATCTGAATGCAAGTGATGGATACATTTTTACCACTCAATAGGAGGAATACCTGAAGGGCAAGCTCTCGAGTTGGGGAAAGGATTAGAGCTCGAGCACCAGTTGAAGCAGAATGAACTTGGAGTTTCTCAAGCATAGGAATGAGGAATGCTGCTGTCTTCCCACTTCCAGTCCTTGCCATCCCCACCATATCACGACCATCCATGATCACAGGAATGCACTGAAAAGATACTGCCCATTGCTTAGTCTTCCAGGGACAAAGGGTGTTTTATCACATCAGAGATAAGAGGACTTGGTGAGGTGCTCACAAATTAGGCAAGTAGCCATCCAAATGATAAATGCCAAACTTGGTTGGCAGAAGAACAAAGAGGCATGTCATGCCATACTGGGTGTCAAGAAACCTTTTTCTAGGGGTTTACAGCCCTAAGTATGCAACCGACCTCAGTGTTTGCAGCATCATTTTAATGCTTGTTTTTTTTTGTTTCTCAGTTGACCTGAATGAAATGATCATGACTGGTCTTCTTGGTGATAGTGAGGAAAAACAATTGGTGGATCATATATGTGTGAAGGCACACTTTCTGGTAATGAAGTCAGTGCCACTCTCCATGGCCTCATGAGATGCATTCATGTGTACTTCAATGTTTTTCCTCACTATCACCAAGAAGGCTGGCCTTGTTTCACTAAGATAATCTGAAAAGCAGAAAAAAAAAGCTTTAGAATGATGCTAAGAACATTGAGGTCAGTTGTATACTTCTGGCTGTAGACCCCAAGTAAAAGGTTTCTTGGCAACAGTACATGAGCCATGTATTGGGATGGATAGGCTGTATTCCAAAGATAAACTATCATTTTCCCCACCTGTACTTGAAACCTCTTCTAACATGGTGGTGAGGTGTTCCATAATTAATGCATCATGCATGATGATTTCTTAAACAGGGTTAAATTGTTCAAATACCTGAATATTAGTGTAAAAAGTTAAAAAGAAGCAGAACTCTGTACAGCTAGATCCCCCAAATGTGAGTGCAGTCTAATGGAAATGAATAAAGTTACCTTTCTTTGAATGGGAGTTGGGACCTTGTATCCTTTGCGCATTATCCCCTTAAAGACTGCATGGGAAAGACCCATAGACTGGAATCCTCCAGATTTCTTCTTCTTCTTATTCTGCCAAGAAACCAATTTCCGCATGTCCAGCTCATTCTCTGACAGGTCCCCATCTTCAGGGATTCGACTCAAATCAAATTCCATTTCTCCTCTTTAGTCACCTCAACAAAATAAGTCACATTCCTTTATTACATCCATAATTTCAGATAATATTTTTAAAAACTTGTAACAGAATCTAGACTTGTTACCTCAACAGAAACTCAGTTCATTACCAACATCAACTTTTATAGTACCTTGACTCCTGTTAACTCTTTTGTGGGCAAATATTTTCCCAAGTGCAAATGACTAAATTCAGTACATATTTTTTTGCCCACTTATGGAAGCCTTCATTTGGAGAAATTCCAGTTTTTCCCCCAAGCATAATACGTTTTCATATGTGTGATGGGAATTATTCTTGTTTTAAGGTCACCAGTGGATGATGTGTGATATAGTGGGAGGAAGACCTCCAAGGGTACTGGTAGGGCTAAGTGTTTTCTGGGAAGAATACTTCCCACTGCCCATGAAAGGGTTAAGTAACCAAAAGTGCATGCTTCAGGACTTTAACCTCTTCAGGGATGAATTTTTTGACAGAAAAAAACTAGTAAAAAAAATTATTGGTGTAGAGTACTTTGCAAGCTGGGGGAACAATGATACAAACTGCAATAAAACTTCCCAAGATATTGGCAACATCTGTGGCATCTGAGCAGTAGGGGATCAGTTTTCGACCAATTCAAAATGCATTGAATCGAATGTCCACATTCGTGCCAGTATCCCTGAAGAGGTTAAAAACAATTCACAAACATGAGCAGCAAAATGAGCAAAATGAGCAGCACTCTTGATTCATTTTGTTAGCTGAGTGATTGAGGCATTAACCACCCTGCCAATGCATTAGGTTCCGGGCTAAACAATTGACTTTTGTAATGTTCCCTGTACCTAAATGCTAAAAGTCTACTTTCAAGGTTTGTCTTTAAACATGGAAAGCATGGCTTCTTTCAGACCAAGCTGAATATGATGAAAACCCACTAAACTACTGCTCGATTTACAGCACAGCATTACCATGTAATTAAAAAATGCAAGATCACCTATTATGCAGTTGTCTCCATTAAAATTTACTTTTGCAGTGTTACACTTGTGCTAAATTGTGGTATAAACCCTCAAGTTTCTTTAAAAAATATATATGCTGTAGGGCATTATAAATTTAGCATAAAAACACTATTGTCATTATTCAAAGTTATTTTCCATTAGTCAAAGATGACCACCAGACCAAAAAAAATTGAAAATTTTTGCCATGCTGTAACCTGAATTTTAATCTGCTATGTAGCAGTAAGAAAAGCTGTAGGAAAAGTAAGGTTTTGGAAAAAGAGTTTTAAAAGAAGCTCTGTATATTGGAGTGCTTAGTAATTGTTCAGAGCAATGACTGACTGCAGCATATGATCCAAGCTCTTGCAGAAATTTTATTTGCATAGTTCCATGTTCTTGCTTTGAGTAAAGCTGTCAACTAGTGTTCTTGCTCTGAATGGATACTGGAAAATGAAATGAAAGCAAAAAGCATAACTTTTTAAAGTAAATATTGTATAGGTTATCCTGAATAAACTAACTATTAATGACACCAATGCCACCTTTGATTAAGTCATTTCCCTATCAACAGAGCTTTTATCTTGCAATGAACTGACTCAAAAGGCATTTTAAAAGGTTACATATTAGAAAAATAAGTACTTTGCAGATTCAACTGCAACTTCTCAATAATGAGAAGTCCACCTTGGGTGAATTCAAATTAAATTCATACCTCTATTTTGCAACCACTTTTGAAGCTTTATTCCAGCTACTTTAACATAACACAAGGCAGACTCACAACAAGGAGGGACTTATGGAATTGTGCTAATGAAAAACCATGTACAGCAGCTATGAATGGCTAGCCAATACATGAAAGAAATGGTAAACTTCATCCCTATCATAAACAGCAACCTGAGTCCCACAAGTCTTGCACTTCACAGCATGGAATTCATCTTGTCCCAGTTCTCTTGGTACAGTGTTAACACATACATCTTTCAGTTCATCTAGAGATTTGGGGTTCAAGTCACTTGTAAAACCCTGAGAACAACCATGGTCACCTAAAGCTGCTTGCATTCCCAGGGCACACTCCTTCCCCCGTTTCCTTTTCTTTGTGCCCTTTTTTGGGTAAAGGAGAGTCTGGTCAAAGTCAACTATGCAGTTGAACACGAACATTGCTCGATACTGGCCTGAATAAAGTTCATGCCTAATGGAAGAAATAACAAAGTCATGACATGAGTAGTAGTATTGTATCAATACATGCCATACTTGCCATACTTACTGCAAATCTCAATTTTCACTAAAGGTAAAGATCATTGACTCCTTTTTCCATGTCCTACAGTACTATGCAATATGCAGCACATTAAGTCCCAAAACTGTACTACTGTTCACATTGGACAGCAGTTAGAGTATGGATTCCATTAGAGACTATAGTAAAAGCCAGGACAGTAAGCAGAAAATAAGTAATTTTCAGCAAAAAATTCCAAGCACATTGCATGCATTTTATGGAGAGCTTCATGGTTGACAAATTAATACTATATACATAGTCTTATTTCAATAACTTCATTTTTATTTTTAAAACAAACAATTTTTCCTATATTCTTTAGAGACACTTTAACTTTAAAAAAAAACATCATGACATGATACTGTAGAACTACAGCTACATGACATTAATGTCATCTAGCTACAGCTGATTTGTGAATGAGATTTTGCGGAAGAACAGAGAATGTGAATTTTCTGACTCTTGTTTTACTTTAATATAGGGCACTTCCAGAGTAATTTGGACAAAAGTGGTAAAAAATTGTATTTCAAAAATGTTATCCATCTTACATATCTATGGGTACTAAACTTGGACCAAATAAGCTCCACTAAACATTCATCACCTGTCATGAGATGGTTTTTCATTACTCATGCACCAATCCATGTTGATGAACTTAGTATTTGCCTGGTGAACTTGCTTTTTGACCAATTAATTACATCAGTAATGTGGAAAACTCTCCAAGCCAATACATTTTTTAGCAACAACAAATATCATTTGGCATGAAGAAAAATGGTCTATGCTTTCTTCTCTGAAAATATGGAAGCTTCAGGTCAAGTCAAATCAGAGGGAATTGGAAGGGAAGCAGCCAAACTAAAGCTGTTGTCTAATATGTGTTGTCAGTAACACGACACAAATGACCTTCCTTTTTTTCATCCATGGGGGAAATGAGACAATTTGGCTGGAATAGGTACTGGTATCCATGCTCTACAAGGCACTGTTGAAGTAGATTTTCTGGACCATATGTTTTCATTTTGATTCTTGTGTTACCAATGTAACACAAGAAAGTAAGAAAGAACCTTACCTTTGGCAATCAAGACAGAGCATGCTCATACAACAAGGGCAGTTTAGAATTGCATCACTGTGTGGCAGCTTCATGGATTTTTCATCATTTCCTCCATTCCTAAAACATAAAAAAATCAAATATAATGACTTTGAATGTAAGAGTGGATTACTGATTGTAGCAAAGCCCTGTATGGCCCCAACTCACTTAGAAGAAGATTGTGACTTCCTGAGATATTTTCTTCTGCACTTGTCGATCCACTTCTGATCAGCATCATCCATGTGAGGATCATAAAAGAGGTCATCATTACTTGACTCTTGTCCTGAGGGTTATATTGAATAAAGTAAATCTCAAGGCAACCCAGCAAAATGAAAAAGTTCATGGATGGAAATATAATTTATCACTAACTGATGACATCTGATGAATGAGATTAATTTTTATATTAGGACGAGTGAGGCTTATTTTGAGAATAGGATGAAGAGTCGGAACTGATGACTGAATTATATTCGAAAGCAGCTTTTCACGCAGGGAAGTACCTAAGGACTGGAGACTAGCAAACGTCATACCGATCTTTAAGAAGGGTGAAAAGAGTAATCCAGGAAATTACAGGCTGGTAAGTCTCAAGAGTATCCAGTGTTGGGCGCGTTACTTGTGAAAAGTAACTAGTTACAATTATAAGTATTTAATCCAAAAAGTAATTAGTTACCAGTAGAATTACTTCTCACTAAAAGTAACTAGTTACAAGTAGAAGTTACTTTTTAAGTTACTTTTCCTGAAAAAAAAATTTCAGATCTTTCTACAGCTTCTCCACTTCTTCAACAAATAGCTGGATGCATGGACTGAAAGCTAAAGTTACCCCTGATTTCATGAAAATTGAATTATGATCTTCACTTAACTGGATAAATACTCATGCTCACTCTTTTCCCTGTGCCTCTTCCCTTTCCATGGGCTACTTAACAGGAATTATTTGCCGATAGACAGAATGCACCCTTTAGTTTAACAAAAAAGCCAATTTTGCTATTGGTGATGGGGAAACAATGGTGATGGGGGATGATCAAGTTGGTCAAGCTCATGGGTTAAGTACAATTTTTTAGCACCTCCCTAAAGAACGAAAAAAAAGAAAATTTAGCTGCAACATTCGGAAGAGAGCAATTTTTCAATGAAAATGATACCAGAATGAAGCTTCTATTATCCAGAAGGAAGGTTATAGCTGAAATACTTCCACAGTTCCAGTCTGGGTTTTTGCTAGTAACCAAAAACAAGTAATATTTAACACTAGAACTACTGGAGCAGTCCATTTGACCACTGTATTAAAAGCAGTATCATATTATTATTCTGTAATGTGTTACTTGTTTACTATATGTATTATGTTAGTAGGTATGTTCAAAAAGTTAAAATTTTTGAAATTTCAGTATTATTGAATAGAAAGGAAAAATAGAAGCTACAGAAGCCCTTAGTGGCCAAACAAGCAAAGTAAAGTGTATTAAATATCAGTGAGCAGTCAAAATGACTACTCTGGTAGTTCTAGTGTTAAAGCAGGAGTGTCAAACTCAATTAAGTGGGGGACTGGATGGAACCCTTTATGGGGCCACACTAACAAATCTTACACCACATTTTTAATGCAAACTGGTAGAAATCTCAGCACATTTCCAAAACCAACTAGTGAAGCGGACTTTGTGGTCCAGACAAAATGGACTAATGGGCCACCAGTTCGATACCATGTTAAAGTAATACATTGAGAGTACAGCAAGAGTTATGAAGAAAAAGTAAAAAGCAGTTTCTGAAAATCAATTCTGCCATATCTCTGCTGATGTCAATAAAAAATTGATTCAGTTGGGATCTCCATCTAGTGCCTTCACTATTAACAACTTCCTCCCATCACTGAAGGGGAGGTTGTTTTCAAGTAAGCCCCCTTTTTACCCTGCACTCTGGTCTACCTTCCTCTCTTCCTACCTATCCACTCTGGGCAAGGGGATCGCCCCATGCGAAAAAAATGGGGACAAATAATGCATACAAATAAAAATGAAATTATCCGAGACACTCACGATTCTTTCGTTCCTTCAGACCAGCATCTGCCTCTATGACATGGAAAGTTGCCTCCAACTCTCTATTCAACACGGATTCAAATTCCTCATCCTCACATTCTTCATCACCAGTATTCTTGCCTTTGCAGAATGGACCTGAAACAAAAATACTTGCATGGTAACTGAAACAAGATAACCATTTTTCATTGTCCCCATTTCAATGTTCATAGAAGAAAAGTTAATGACTCACTTATGGATGTTTTACTCCTCGAGAGAAAAAAAAAAAAGGTTTAGGACTGCAAGTTCCATAGCCCAGCAGACAGAGGAGAGTGGTACACAATGAGATTTTTAAGAAAAACTGAAACTGATTCTACATACCAATCTGGCAGTAAGCTTATACATCTCACCCCATAATATATTCTTATTTTAACAAATTTCAGGTTTCACTTATGAGCTTTAAGACACCCTAACAAAAAAAAGAGGTCTCCAAACTTTTTCAGAAGATATAACCTTTTCTTTTCCGATTCATTGCTTCAAATTCCATGCCACAATCACAGAAAGTTTTATAGTATTTGAAAGCTTCCTTCATCTCCACTGATACAAAACATGAGAAGTCTTGCATGAGTTTTTTCTAGGCAATCAAGGGAAGATGGAAGGGTCCATTCTGCTTACCACTTCTCCATTGCTCAGGTTCTTTTAGGAATGGTGTACTTAAAAAAAAAAAACTTTAAAAACCACCTCATTGTACACCATCTTAGTACACAATGCAACAAGGTTAACAAAGTTTTTTTTTTAAAGAAAATTATCAAACTTCCACATTTAAAAGCCAATTATATAATGGGGTCATATCCAGCTCAACTCTTTCCTCATGTGCTGAAATAAAGAAAGAGTTTTCATATTTAGCCCCTAAACTGTCAAGTTTTAGAGTAGACTCTTAATCTCTTTTGTAGGGTTTTTACCTTCCCACCATTTTCATATATTTATTTTCAGAAAAGAAAAATATTTCAAGCAAATGCTTATAAAGCCATTAAATTTACATTTTTGCAGACCAAACTGAGACTATTTTACAAAAATAGATGGTGTGAATGAGAAGACACAGATGCATTGACACAAATATACTTTGGTGTGAAAGTGAAGGGGTTAAAATGCAAGGAAAGCAGCCCTTCAAGCTCACACCCAAATTCCCTCACATTACAAGGGACACTTAATAAATTTTGCATTTTACATGATTTCTTCATCCATTTCCTGTTATTTTTCCAGCAGGTAAAAAGTGCTTTTGCATGTGTATATGCCAAGTTGCAGGAGTCTGATGTGAATAGTTTGCTGTCAGTTAAATTTTCAGTTTAATGTGCAGTGACCTTGACACTTTTGACCTTGAGAAATTGCATCTCTCAAATTTTGACAATTGAGACATGATTTGATATTGCTGGAAATAAAGTCTCTCTTCAAGGGAGTGCTATGCTGAGGTGCCAGAGGCTCTAGGGGAAGCTTCCCCCTCTTTAAGGACCATTCCTAATTGAATCAATGAATTTTGCTTGTGGAGAGGAAATTTTTCCAACAACCCAATGTTTGGTTGACCCTGAGGTAAAGTACAAAAATAACAATGAAGTTGCTTGACCTGGGCAGCATATTTATAAAATAATTCAGTGGTTTGAGGGATGGGCTCCTGCATATATGATGTATCTGGCTTAAGCTGGGTTCACATTAACTTGCTATAGCAAGTCCCTGACATATTTAGGTACAAGAGGTACTCAAATTTGCAAAGCACACAAGTCCATGGGACTCATTGACAACCACCTGAACATGTTCCCACAGAGCTGAAGCTAGGCACCAGAACTAAAGATTTGAAAAAGCAAGTGGAAACCCTGGGCTTAAGTGTATAATTTTTTATAAAGGACTTGAATATATTGTATATACATGTTCAGCATGCATGCTCTCATAACAAAATATATAGTTATAAATATATATTCCATATACATAAGGTACAGTACACAATTTATATGGTATGGTCAAACCCTCATAGCAAGGTAACATCCCAAGAATGTTGATGGATACTTTAAGGACATCTTCAATCGAATTGTTCCCCACATCTTCAAAATGATGTATTTGGGGCTTCTTAGAGATGTCTTTTAGGCATTTTCAGTTTAAGAATTCCATACAGAACAAACCTTTAAAAATAAAAGGGGTGTCTCATATGGCAGGAAATGAATCTATTTCAGAAAGAAAGGCACCTAGATATTTTGATATTATTGAGAAGTCCCTAGTACTGTAGTTATCTCTGGGACTTCTCTCTTGTCCCAAGGGGATATCTTTGAGATGTACTTGTGCTGTGTTGGAAGTGAATGGTTTTTATATTTTCACAGAAGTGACATATGAAGTGATAATTCTCAAGTTCCTTTAGTTATTTTTTTATATTTGGGAGAGGCTTTTGAGAGTAACATGATTTTATGTATATTTCATACCTGATTTGGCCATGTCTCTCATCAGGTGTGACATATATGTCCCGCTATGTACTATTAGGTCTGGGAAAAAATATCCGGAACTTTTAGTGGTTTAAGCTTGAGGGGTTCGTGCCGCGCCGCCTACCCTTGTTCTGTCGCTATGTTATATAAGAAAAGAAAGAGGCTGAAAAGCTCTGTAAAACTGTGTATATCTGCCGTGTATAACTTTCAGGTAAAAGTTTTTCCGCTCGAATGAAAAATGCGGCTCGACGACCACATCTGTCATTGCTTACTTCTCCAGTTCGATGAGGGGCGCAACGCGAAAGGCATTGTCCGTCGCATAAAAAAGGTGTACCCCGATGCCTGTTTAAGCAAATCCACGGTATACGAATGTTCTGAGAAGTTTTCAAGTGGAGATCGAACTCTTCAAGATGAACTCCGTTCTGGACGCCCATCTGTCGTCGATGACGATGCGCTCAAGGCTACGATCGAAGATGATCCGCACCAAACCACATCTGAATTGGCGAGAAAACTCGGCTGCGACCGTACAACCGTGTCCATGGGAAAGGTGCGCAAACTGGACAAATGGGTCCCTCACAAGTTGTCCTAAACCGAGAAGATTCAACGAGCGACCATTTGCTCATCTTTGCTGTCGCGTCACAAGGAAGACCTGATGTTTGGCCGGATCATCACGTCAGATGAGAAGTGGGTTCTGTGGAACAACCAACGAAGATCATACTCTTGGCTGGACCCTGATGAACCCCCGAGCAAAATGCCGAAACCCGACCTACGCCCAAAGAAGGTCCTTTTGTGCATTTGGTGGGCCCAATTCGGCGTAGTACCCTACGAACTCCTCAAGACCAGCCAGTCCATCAACGCGGACGTCTACTGTACACAACAACAGCGTGTCCATGAAGCCCTGCTTAAATCTCGGGCCGCATCGGTCGATCGAAAAAGGTCCTCTTCTTCCACGTCAACGCAAGACCACACGTCGCCAAAAAGACCCAGGAAAAACTGAAGGACCTCGGCAAGTTTAGCTGCATCCACCGTATTCACCGGACGTTGCACCATCCGACTACTACCTATTCAGGTCGCTGGATGTGCAAGAAGCAGTTCCCGAACGAAGGTGCACTCAAAAACGCACTTGATGGTTTCTTTGGCTCACGGGATGCGGTGTTTTGGGAGAGAGGAATCGACTCTCTTAAGGAAGGAAGGGAAAAAGTTCTAGATTGTGAGGGAGATTATTTTGATTGATTAAGTTCGTTGCATAAAAAGTTACAGCGTATCAAAGATATGGGTCGAAAAGTTCCGGATACTTTTTCCCAGACCTAATAGACATACTAAATCTTACAAGTATCTTATCTGCTCCTCCATATCTTTTACATATATGGTTTTTTATTATAAAATTCTTATACTCATATAATCATTGTTTCAGTGAGAACATATGATCATTTATATTTTGCCATATATGTTCATATAATATCATATATGATAGTCCATATATGTCCCATATGCTCATTTCTCATAAAATCATATATGACTTTGCTGTATGGGTGTGCACCTAAAAAAAACACTGTTTATCTGCTAGAAAAAATAACAGGAAATAAGAAAATCATGTAAAGTGCAAGTTTTATTAATGAGCCCATCATTTATCAAGAGTCCCTAAGTCACATCTTCCTTCATAGCCTACTAATAAAAATTTATCTCGATGCCACTGTGCACAGAATAATGCTTATTAGTGCAAATAATGCTTACTAGTAAGGCTTAGTGCCCTGCCTTACCAAATCAGGAACATCACCATACAGGGTGCGTAAGAAGTTCTGTTACAAACGTTTCTTTGCCAAAAACAACCAAAGCAACAAGAACGACAACGTCTAAAGTGATAATACAAAGTGATAGTACAAAGTGTCAGTCAATGTTAGGAACCATAGCTACTCTAAATGTCCGCCACGTTTGGAAATGCAAGCCTTCAATAGAGGGCAGAAAGCGCGTACTGCAGCACGCAGCTGATGCTGTGGAATATTCTTCCATTCTCGGACCAAAGACTTCTTAAGGGCTTTGATGTTGCGGTGGGCACTAGCCCCAACTCTTGTCTCCAAAATGGACCAAATAGAAAAATCCAGAGGGTTCAGGTCAGGGGAGCTGGGAGGCCATTGGTCCTTCGTAATGAAGTCCGAAATTTCATGAAGAGAGGTCTTTGAATATCTCTGGTGGTGTTTTTCCGCTGAGATGAAGCTCAATGATGGTTGCACGTTGTGCATTCATTTTGGCACAAAAAATGATAGGAACTGATGAGACCATTGCTTCATCTGCAAGTTTAAGCTACATGTCCATACAAGTCACACGCCCATAGGCTTGTAAAAGATTCTACCCGGGAGACATTCTAGGTGAGTCCAAAGTTTGTAACAGAACTTCTTACGTACCCTGTATATCCCCACTCTCATAGAGCAACATCAATCTGGACTACATGTGGGAATGGAATGAGTTCAATTGAAAACACAAGCCAAGCATTTTGTGAAAACCCTCAGATGTAAGTGGACACGTGGGCATGCATGCGTCTGCCTACCTGCCAAGTATTGATGCAAAGGACACATAACACACAAGATGTGAAATGGCATTTAAAGGATTAAAATTTTGAAGCCTGGTTTTTTTTACTATACATTCTGATGAAGATGTGCATGCCTTTATACAAATAAAATTTCTTCAGATATTTGTCTGACCAAAGTCCTCCTAAAGATTCCAGTCAACTATACCATGAATCATGAGTGTGTTCAATTGGCTGAATTTCAACACATCCCTGTGCTTTTCATCAATTCTTTATAAATGAATGAATGCACTTGGCATATAATCAACTTTTGCAGAGGCATCACCATCCATGCTTTCAGTAACAATGTAGCAGCTGTAATGTAGTACCTACCCTTCTAATAATTGTTATAATTGTCTTACTTCTATGCTTTTCAAGTACACTTTAGACTGCACAGGCCCATGCTTTAAGGCAATGACATAAATGAAAACAAAGCAAAGACTCCCCAATTAACTTTTTGGAAGAAAAAAAATTCTCATAACCTTAGCAATATTTCATGACTCTGCAATTTCTTTTGCACAACATTTGTGCCTGTACTTTCCATCTTATGAGCTCATCAATCACTGCAGCAAGATACTATATGAAAGCAACTCTGGTCACACTTTAACAATTCACACCTAGTTTCATGCTTTAATGCTCCTCCAATTACCATGAAATTTAATCTGCTCTTATTTTGGTTAGATTTTGTACCATTCTTGTCAGTATACAGAATCATTCAGATTCAGAATCTTGACAAGATCTAATTCAGTCTGGGCAGTAACTGATGTCATTAATGTTACAATCATAGAAAATATTTGCATCAGCACAAAACATAAAATTACTAAATAGTTTCATGCATTTCACTTATATATATTAAAAACAGTATTTGTCCTAAAACTGAGCCCTGTAGGACATTATACTTGACAACCTGGTAATCATTAGGACAATTAAAAGTATAACTTTCCAACAACTATTAACTAGACAATTTTGATGCCAGTCCTTTCAAATCCCCATGAAGCCAACCTTTTCCAATTTAATTGCCTATCAATGTCTTGAGGAACAGTATCAAATGTCATTTTTAGGCATAACAATATTTTAAGACACATACGTACATCACCATCATCTAATCTTCAAATTTTCACAGCCTTTTTCTAGACATACTATGTTCAACATGTGATGGCATTACCCAGTTATACTTGAAATTACATACTCGGATATTTGATACACTATGAAATAGGTGATATATGATTATATATGTTGCAATATGGGAGAAACCCATATGGATTGTATGGCATACAATGTTCATATAAAAGTACATAAAATCATACTGCCTGCCATGTGTGACATTACCACTTGGGCAAGTGCAACAGCATTTCTTGATGACATTGCAACAAGTTTAATAACTGACCTATAACAGAGGGAAAAGATCACATAGGAAGGAAATGAATGCATGAATTTAATTTTCATAGTTTGAAGAAATGGCATTCCTTGCAGGTGTGAAAGTAGCCTAAATATAATTAAAAGAGGGAAATGCCCCTCAGGAGTGGAGAATAACACAATATGAAATCCATTTCCTTTTTTGCATTGAACTGTACTGACAATGCCAAATTTAGGCCAAACTAGGCCTAATAACCAATGTATATGCCAACCTGGGGGATTCAATGGTTTCTGCTGGGCTGGAAGCATACATGAACTCATGTTGTCCCTCAGGATACCACTACATCTCTGTTTGGAGTCCACAGGTCCTATCACTCGTTGCAAGCAAAGTTCTCCATCATCTTCATCAGAGCTGTAACAGTTGTGAAAGCAAACAATCATATTAGTCCAACATTTGTTAATGACAATGCATGCAAACCAGGTCTGTATTTACCTACCCAGGAATTACAGAATTGAAGATAGAATTGGTAGTCCTATACAGTCAAACTCTGTAATAATGTGACCTTGATAATAACATTGAATAAAGCTTGGTCCAGGCTAATTGCCCATAATATACATTGTATTCACACCTTCCTTAGTATGAGATTGGTTATTATGAGAACTTTGGCTTGTGTGAAGTCAAATATTACTCCCAAACTTTGTTCCCATGAGCTTTCTCTCCTCCAGTTTTTCGTGCATTGTATGCACATCGCTTGGGCTAAGTACTTATAATCCCTTTCCGATATAACTCTATCCAGCAAAAAGAAAAGCATAAGCCGCCCCATGCGTGTATGATCCTGATCTGTTCCAGCGTCTTTTGCCAATAAAAATAAACTGAAATTGGATTTGTTAGGAGTCAACAAACCTGGTAAGGCAAGCTAACTGCTCATCTTCTTCATCTTCAGAATCATCATCCAGAAAATATGGATCCATAGATCTAGACACGACAGAAGATCCACCTCTCAGAAGAGAACCTATTCAGTTGCAGGTTTTATGAGCACGTGGCCGCAGACATGATGGTGTCAAGAAAGGCAGCATTCATCGGTCGACGCGCATATCACATTTGAGCACCCAGGCCAGTGCAGAGGTGTGCTCGTATCCCGGTTGCCGCTTGATATTCTCCGACGTGCCTAAACTTTTCTTCTTCCTTAGCTATCAGCTTTTCTAAGCTGGTTTACTCCGACGGTCAATTTTCCTTGACAGGCAAACGTAGGTGTTTGCTCCTATTTGGCCTCCAGCCCCTCTAACTGCAGAGTTTTCGTCGTCCTTTCATCTCGGCGAATAGTAATAACCTTGTTTGCCCCTAGGCCAATTGGACCATTGATTTCCACGCGAATTGCAGGTGAAGTGCAAAATGTCAGGGGAAGAAGTCTTCCTTGACAGCCTGCTGCAAATGGGTTTTCCTAAAGAGGAAGTGTAAGTCCATGCATTTATTCGTCTGAAAACTAAATTGAGCTATTCCTATCCATAATAACATGTAAGAACGTATTGTCCTATACATTACAGGGAAAAGGCTCTCAGGGAAACTGGTTATAGAGGTGTGGAACCAGCCATGGACTGGTAATATTGCACTTTTTTATGCTTGCTTCATTGCTCTTATATAGGTGGTGTTTCAATGCTATTGTAATTCACTCACCGCTAACAACAATTGTGTCTCAGGCTCTTGCATCAAGGTGGTGTAGAAGATGGAGCACAGAAAAAAACCTCTCAAGAAGAGAGCACAAGTACACTGAATGAGGCTTCTTCCTTGGACCAGGAGGAGGAGTCGAGTGATCCCCCTGTTGCCAAGTCCATTAAATGCAATCAGTGAGATTTCTTCATATCCTCACTCTGGGCAGAAGTAAATTCCTCCCTTCCAGAGCACCAAGCCTATGTTCTGACAATGTTTGAAAAGGGAAAAAGAAGAAAATTTATTTCTGTACCTTATGCAAGTTCAACCACTTAAATGTGATAATTTTGGTGCTTCTTTTATCAGATGCAGCAAATTGTTTGCCTCTCAAGCAGAAATAGAGTTTCATGCAGCCAAGACAGGTCATTCTGATTTCTCAGAGTCAGAGGAAGAAAAGAAACCTTTGACAGAAGAAGAGAAAGCGCAGAAGCTCCGGGATATTGAAGATAAACTCAAGCAGAAGCGAAGGGAAAGAGAGGAAAAGGAAAAGCGGGAAGCTCTGGAAAAGGAAAAACATCGTATAAGGATAGGAAAGGAAATTTCTGAAGCCAAAAAACGGTGAGGGAGATCTCTTCATTCTCTTTGCTTTCCTTTGAACTTTTAAGATATTAAACATTTCATACTGATGGGCACACTGAATAATTGATGCCATAAGGGGCTGAATACATTTTTGAGAAGAGTGATCATCTATTCAACATCTCCCAACAGTATTGCATCTCCTTTCCAAACTCTCTTGCTTCAGCATAGTTTAGGTAATTTCAGCAGTTTCTCAAACCCTAAGCCTAATCCTTACTGCATTGAGTGAACAAGATCAAATTTCATCTAACAAACTCAAAATAAGATAAACTCAACTGTGCATTGAAGAGTCGGACAAGATAATGCACATATTTCATCAGATCAAATGAAAAAGAAATTGCAAAAACTTCTGATGAAAATGAAAATAATGGAGAGGAGAGAGAGAAGCAAAGCAGCAAAAAATTTTGTCTAGCCTCCATGCACTACCAGGGGGGAAATGGGACACAAAAATTGTAGAGGGATTTATGGCACTGATGTGTCCATGAAAAATGAGAATGACATACTGTAAGGCAGTGGTTCTTAACCTTTTTAGGCTATGACCCAAATCCTGATCACAGTGCTAGCTCAGCAACCCATGCCCCCAAACAGTTCACTTGTGATAAATGATATGTGAAAGATCAGACAGTCACTGGAGATCATTGGCGATCCAATTTTGGGCTGTGACCCAGGGGTTAGGAACCACTGCTATAAGGGGTGGCTGGAGAAGGGAACTGGTGTCAGTAAGGATACTGATGTGAGACAGGTAGTAGGAAGAAAGATCAGGTGAATGGTGATTTCCTGCCATAGACAACAAGCTTGAGAATGGGTTGTATGTTGAATGGCTGGACATCCTCTTTGCCACCTGAGATGATCCTCATGGAGAAGTTCATTCCCCAACTCCAAGAAGAGGCTCAAGGGTGCCAGACCCTAATCTAATGATTTTCCCTGAATGCATCATTCCAAAGACAACATTTACCAAGTTTCACATATGTCCCCAGGGAGTAATATCAATTTCATATTTTTTCTGAAGTCATCACCTTAACACCTGTTTGTGTTCCAAGTTTAATCTTTTTATCATATCTACAGGGTGTTCTGTAAGTCCCAGGTCATGATTATTTACAATGATTATTATAGATATTAGTTCTTAATTCTTGTTAATTAATAATTAATTTTTAGAACTTGGAGAAGGATTATATTGGGCCAAGACAATGGTGGAGCACACACTGACCTGGATCAATAACTGGGTAAGTGACCTGGGACTTACAGAACACCCTGTAGAACATGGCTAGAATTAGCATCAGTCAACGATGATCATCTATAAGTATTTGATGCCAAAGGCCCTTATCTTCAGTGTATGTTAAGCCTTGCATCACCTCACCACTGCCAACTATTTCTTTAGGAACATATTGGATGTTCTTGTGTAGGAATGCTATTCATAAAAATAAGGAGTAAGCAAAGGATGCCTATAATTACCATTATTTATTTCTGGTTAATCCATATCTTAATTAATTTAATAATAAAGTTCAATTAATAAATAAACTGAGGCATTTTTTTGTCTGAAGATAACTAGTATAAGAGGGCTGGTTGGCTAGGAATAAGTCATTGAAAATGTTTGGCTGAGGAAAGTAGATGGGAGAGGCAGAACCATGATCTATGGACAAGGGGATTAAAAGAAGCAAATTTGAACCCTGAATTATATTCGTAATATCTACTTCACTTGCTCACCCTTGAGCTTCACACTACAATGCTTCAGAACCTAGGAACTTATAGAGGGGAAACTCTTGAATTTCTCTGGGTCCCCCTTGTCATCTGGAAGACTGGCCAAGAAAGTAATCCAACTCTCAAAACTCTTCCTTCATAGAGATGTTTACATAGGACTAATGTCTGGAAGCAGGTTGAACACCTAGAGCAAAAAGACATCTGGTGATTGTATTTTTTTTTTGGAAACTTACTTCCAGTTCATTGTCTATGGGATGATGTTTGGAAAGTCAGATTATCTTTCCAGGTATCTTACATTGCATGACAGTGATGTCATCCAAATTCAGATAGTTTCCTGGGTGCTTTCATCTGAATTGACTGGTTTGGGCAAGATGGCAATGTCAATCTTCTGATTGTACCAAGTGACTGCAGATTTTGTTTAAATATTAAACTGACAGGTTTCAGTAATTTTCACCTCTTCACTCAACTCTTTTGGAGGTTTATGTACATGCCCCAAAAATCTGCTGATATATTTTTTGATGCATAGCTACTTTTCACCAGTCACCTATACTACATCTCTACACCATTTATGCAGCAATAAACTGTGGATCTATTCACATGTTCCAGTCTATTTAAACAAGAAGAAAATTTTCCTGTTTTCACATCATATCTAGCTTTTGTAACACAATGGACACAATTACAGTGCTAAACATATGACTGTTTTCTATGAACTTCATTGATTGATTCACTGATTGAACCAATTTTTGGGGAAGTTCCTATTTGATAACATCCATTCTCTTATGTTTATAGGGTAGATGATGAAGAGATGAGGAAGATAGCAGAAGAAAGGAAGAGGGAAAAGATGGAGGATCGTCTTGCAAGGCAACGGGTTCTGGATCAGATTGAACGAGACAAGCAAGCAAGGAAAGAAAAGATGATGAAGTTGCAAGGAAGACTACCCCCATCACAACTCCCTGAACCTCAACCAAGAGTGGCATCTGAGCCTGCACCTAAAGACTACTTAGAGACAAAATTACAGTTACGTCTTCATTCAGGGGAGAACTTTGTGCAGACATTTGGCAGCAAGGAAACCTTGTCTGCTGTAAGGTTATTCCTGCAGATGAAGAAACCTGAGCTTCAGACTCAACCATTTCTCATGATGACCAATTTTCCAAAGAGGATATTCAATGAAGATGACATGCAAACACCTCTTAATGCTTTGGGTAGATATCTCCTGTTCTGCTCCTTACAACATGCATGAGTTTCATCTTGGGGCCTATTAATGTCTATTCTTTTTTATTTTACAGACCTAGTGCCATCTGCTGTGGTAATGGTGAGGCTACAATGAGAAATACTGAGTGACAAACAAGACTAACACTTCATCTGGCTCATTTTCTTGTGATAAGCATCATGAGAGACAAGAAAAAATTACTACAGGAGTGCAGTGTGCCTGTTGAAATGCAACTGTTACAACAAGTCCTGTCTTTGTTTGCCCATCTGCAATTCCTGGCTTTGTTTCCAGTCCCTTGGAGTATATTACTTCATCCAGGAATTGATTTTTGTATATATAAAATTTCCAGCACTCATCATGAAGCTATTGTTTGAGCCATTCTTCATATAGTTTCTCAAGAACAAAATGTGGTTGTGGATTGGGGAACATTATGAAAGTTGCATTCCTTTCAATGCAATAGCCAGTATATAGAGTGAAAATAATACCCCTTTAATGTTACCTTTTCTAATTGAAGCTTGGAATTCAGTGCACATCATGAAGTGTATGCAAGCATATGTCATTCATGCCTTGTTGAGTTATTCCTGGTCAAAATTCACAGGTGTGGAATCCCCCTGACACTTTAATTGAAGATAGCCATAGGATACTTTACGGGACTTGTCATCTAGGTGTCGTCAGTGAGTGGAGAATCTGCAGGGTGGTTTGATTCCATATGCAGGTGAATTTTGTTTGCAGAGAGCTTATTTTCTTGAGCCCACACAAAGGTGTTGTAAATATACATGCAATCCTATCTATTTTTACAATCCTACCAGAAGGGGTAAAGACAGGATATGGTTTTAAAAATTCTGTAATTTATTGCCCCAGCCTCATCCATCAAGCTCACTGACCTCTGTTATTAGGAGATATGTGAGAATTTTCATCCAGAATGGACTGTACAGCCATTGAGAACATTGGATGTTGAGTTGTGAAATTACCAGTAAGGGAGAGGCCATTACTGGTAATTTACAAGTAATTTACTGATGTAATATCTGTATGTTTGTATCTGGATGACATGCATTCATGATAGGCCTGGGTGGTCCAAGTACTGCCTAAGATGAGAAAGAAATTCATTCAAATGTAAATCCATTCATAAATCAGTATAAATCTCAATGGTATTCAGCTCAAATTAATTCCATGAAGTAGTAACAACATCAGGGGTTATCCTGAAGTACCTGTGCATACAAGAATACAGGTGCAGAGCCAAGTGGCGCTCGGGCTTTGAACCTCCAACCATGTCTTGAGTGCTGGCATCCCCTTAGAGTGGACTGGGCACTATGTTTAATCTTCCACCATCTCCAACGTCAAGACATTGTTGGCAAGTTTATGTAGGGGAAATTAATTAGAAATTCCTTGGAGAGAATTACTCAACATAATACTCCTCAAGTGCATAGCAGTGTGCCATGAAATCGATCATTTTCCAAGAGCGTAGGATGGATACTCAACGAGAAAACTTGCCGATTTCTAAATTTTAAGTCGGGGTAAGAGGATCTTACCATGCACCAAAAGTTCATCCAGACTAATGTGATTACTGAAACACGAAGCAAACGGCAACTCAAAGGTAGGATAATCGATCAGTTTCATGGTCATCGGATGAGGTAATGCAAAGATAACATGCCGAACGGCCGAGGAATGGAGGAAGCGGGCAGTGGTTTAGCCAGTTTTCTTCCCCAGCAACTAGGAGGTAGCTGGCCGGAGGAGATCCAAGCGCTATACTGGCGGGTTCTTAGCTGAGGCGTACTGTGGCAGCTGGAATACCAGATCATCCGACCGCCCAATTCCTTAGGGATATTTAATGAATATGTTTCTAGCTCTACACGTCTCTTGCTGAACCAGATGGCTGACAATACATTCTTAAAGTTCTTTAAGAATTTAATTCACCAATATGATGCATGAGGATCACTTGCAGTAGAAAGGGATTGGAAGTTCAATAATTCATAATCAAACTTAAGAAACTCATATACAGTACTCGAGACCTGGAAAGAATAACGGCACGTGCACACGTTGTGGAGTCCACGATTGGCACGCACGTTTGCCCGACCTGATCAACCCCACGAGCTGATTTGGACCAATGCCAGTTCTAGCTTTATTATTATGAGATACTCTTGAATCAGTTCAGATCGTTTTCGTAGTACTGGGTCTAGGAACCTTGTGTTTCTGAGACGTAAAGGACCACGCAAAACTTTTTCCTGGATAGATCCTGCACTGAGTGAAAAAATATCGTGTAAGTCTTTTCATCAGCTGCACGATAGCGTAGCTCAGTAGCTGTGCCCCAGGTTAGAAGAGTAGATAAGGTTGGGTCGAAAGCGAAGCCCCTAATAATAGCGGTTCTAGCCCTAGGGCAAATGACGTCACTGGTCCATTCTCGCCCTTGGTTTTCCTCCGATGCCATGAAATTATTTGAAGCATAATGTCCTCATTTCGTAACCAATCGCTCATTAAAAAATATCCCTTAAATTGATAATGATTGAAGATAATGCATCGGATGGGAAATAGGCAGGGATTCCTTACTGAAAAGTTCGAGGGGGATGCGACTGTAGTGAGAATATATTATTATTTACAGAAATTAACATGGGTCATTTGCCCTTTTGAAATGGCAATGAAAATATGCGCTCATTGTCAAACGTGCTCGTTCTGTGTTGCTGTATCCCCAAGTCAGTGGAAGGGAGCTTGTTTTGTCATGGTCATGGCAAATCACGTGATTTTCATGAACACCATGAGGATATTCCTTCTCACCACTTCAACGAAATACTTCCGTTTCTTCCTCACCTTCTTGCCCCGGCTGAGCAACTCGGAATTTATGAACAGAATCCAGATGAACAGCCGCGTTCTTACAAATATTCGGAATGCTCGATGGTTGACTTGGAATTTCGATTGGATCATTTCGGCGAAAGATAATCGACCCTAAAGGGTTGTTTTGGGACCCTTGTCTCAGTCCACCTCAGGAATTTCATATTCCGCGCGTTTCCACCGCATCACTTCGATTTTTCCCAACCCTGGTTCCTTAAAAACGATGAAACTAATGCTTCTCTCTGCCGGCTCCAAAATCATCAATGTTCTTGCAGGCGGCGACTGCACATACGATCAGCATCTGCGAATGCTATGAACCTTTCCCAGTGCCACAATCTAGAGATGCAATCGTTCAAGTGCAATAGAATGGAGGCGCAAAGTACGAGAAGGTAATATGGCAATAATAAAAAATTAACAGATATAACATTTTCAACAAAGGAGAAATAGACTGGGAAAATGAGATTTTATCAGTCAGCCAAGGAGTGTATACCAGTGACGTCATTGGCTCTCGAGCCCCACCCTCCGCTGGGATGTAGCCCAACCTTTTCTACTCTTCTAACCTGGGCTGTGCCCTAAGGCAGCAGTGTGCCGAGGCCGAGAACTGCATGATTTGGTTTGCCTCGACCCATTGGCGGAAATTCTCCCCTTGGTTATTCCAATTTCATTCTATTCAATAATTGAAAAACCAGGAACGAAATACTAGCTGTCCACAAATTATGGACGCACATTTATATTTGAATAAAAAATTATCTATGCGAGATAGAAATTTGGAGATAGCGGCATCTTGTACTTTAGCATCACAAGTTTATTCATGCATAGTCTTACAGTTACATTACTTCGACGTGGGCACGATTATTAACTCGAACCATGTCCAGGCGATAATCAATACCTGCCCAGGCGGAATGAGGCGACACTACGAGAGTACAACAAAGCACTCTCAAACGCAACAATTACGCTCCACGACGACATCAACCGACCACCGCGCGCGCGCCTTAAGTCCCGCAGACCTTTCTGGACTGCAGGTGAAACACTCCTGTCCACCAGCATCGGTCCAGATGAACAGTGGCGAGCACTATGGAACGACGCTGAAGTTAAGAACGAGAGCCTCATCTTGGACCCTACATCCAAGCCTCCTGGTTTCTTGCAAACTTCGATGCAAACATTAGAGCATCATCAACCGTATTAGAACTCACACTGTAGATGTGCAGATCTTTTGCACAAATGGCGAATTGAAGCCTCACCGCTATGTCAACGCGGCGAAATTCAAACCATGGAGCATATTGTCAACGACTGCCTCATGTACTCCTTCCGTGGTGGTACTGCCGAATTACATCATGCAACACCGGAAGCCATCGACTGGATCACAACGCTCCCAATTATCTTATAATTTATTTCTCATTGTATAATTTTCACAAAGTTGCTATTTTCCATGCGAAAGAACACTGCATATATTTTAATGCGGTTTGTTGCATTTGAAAGAGAAATTATTAAGTTTTAAAGTGGTGTTCTTAAATTTCAAATATCTTGCACACTTTCAGAAATTCGGAAGCTCATATGACAGCAAGCAAAAACTGCGTTTTTTTGTAGCAGTGGAGATGGACAGGCGGTGACTGAAGGTCACATGCTGTCTATGTCCGAGTCTGCGGCAACGCAGCTTTTGTTTGCTGTTCATATGAGCTCCCGAATTTCTAAAACCGTTGAAGACATTTGAAATGTAAGTACACCACTATAAAGCTTATTCATTCCTCTTTCAAATGCCGTAATTGCATCAAAATATATATGCAGTGAGCGAAGAGTAGCGTATCATTAAAAACTGTTCGTTTTTTTTTTTTTTACCCCTTCTGTACATACAATTTCGAACAATCAACTTAGTCGGGTCGTGGTTCGAACAGGCCCAGGAGCATTTTCCTGTGTTTGCGATCCTGGGCAAAGGACTCAAGTTCGGCAGGCGGTATACCGAGCCTCTCGTTACAAAGGCTTGTGATGTAGTTCGACTACCTTGCATGAGGCCAGGGCCGACTCTAGCTATTTCGGCGCAAAGAGACTACCAAGGCACCCCTGTATGGCCATATTTGATAATTCGCACGAAATCTGAATATGGAGTTCCCGTAAGGGAATCCAGAGGTGCCATCCTTGATTTGCATGCTGTTCGACGTACCCTATGCAACGAAAACCCATCGATGCCCATTGTTTTCGGTGCCTCTGCCCGTATTTCATCAACGTCTGGAGACATTCCATTCTTGAAGTTCGTTAAACTTCCTTCATGGTGAGACTATTCTCCGCGCATATAGGCTCCGCGTCGGGTACATCTGACTCCACCGTGTGCAGATTTAAGAGCTCCTCAAAATGTTCCTTTCAACTTGCAAGCATTTCCGCTTCGGCAGCCAAGAACTTCGTGTTTCAGTCTTTCACGACCTGGAGAGTATGTTGCCTGCCTTGTCGGAGCCTTCGAATGGTTTGCCAGAATACCTGTGCGGTAGTCGTGTTCCTCTTCACCGAATTCCTTCCATGCCTCTCGTTTCGTTTCGGCTACCGCTCAAAGAGCCTCATTTATGCCTTTCAAAATATATTGTTAGAAACTGAATAAAAATTTAGTCACGCTGGGCAGACACTATTGCGTGAGAGCAAATGCTATTTGAACTCTACTGAATTTGAACTCTATAGTAGAGTTCAAATTCCAAATATTTTAGTATCGCAATGGAAGTCTATGATCAGCTATGAACATGGATTCACGTCAATGCAATGCCAATGCTGAACAGACTTTGGAATGGTGGGTGAAGATGTGGGGTGGATTGAGGAGGGGACCCAAGTAGCGCAAAAGTAGTGGGCCATAAGCGGCCCAGGCACTACACTGGCGGATTTATGCCGAGGACGGGAACGTGGCGGCAAGTTGGACAAACAGTTGCTGGCCCACTACCTATTGTAGGTAGGAGGATCAGGGTGGAGAATGTACCTGGCAATCCCCTGGATGCAGTTCCAAGAGTCCCCACTAGATGGTACCCCTGTTCCCTACACCCTACAAATGCAATGAAGTACCTGCCTTCCTGATTTGTAAAAAGTGTTTCTTTCTCGTTTTTCCTTTTTTAATGTGCAGTTTATAAACAAGTACTGGGAAATCGTGGAATTATGATGTTTTAATTGTAATATAAGATTCATGGAATTATTAAATGCTGAAGTTAAGTATGGAAATTCAGAAGTGTACGAGACTAGGGGAGGGTAGAGAAATGGAGTCATTAATGTCTTATTGTGTTTACGAAAGAAGTCTGTTCTCCTCTCACACAGAAATATGTATTGAGTGCGGAAGAGGAGAGCAGTGGGACATTTTGGATCTCTCGAGTGCTCTTCTGAATAGATTCTAGAGCCAAAATGTACAGATAATTATATAGATGCATTAGGACCCTTCGCAGCTTGTGATACACCACAAACGAGCCAACTGGTAATGTGCTGGCCCTTAAGCAGGCTGGAAGGTGGCGGGTCAGTACTGGCAAGTGGGACATGCGGCTGGTGGCCCACAACTTAGTCAAGGTGATGGGCCACCAACTCTTTTCTCCAAACGCAGTTGGTGGCCCACCACTTATGCGCTA